CTTCCACAATAATAGCCGAGAATGAATACGTCTAAGATTACTTCAAAAAACTTTCTATGACAAGTTACCTCTTAAAAAGCACTTTAGTTGGATATTTCTAAGTCGAATATCTGTGTACCATACTTTTCTTGAAGATGAAATCAAGATCAAAATGGGATATTTTGACCAGTTTTTTACTTCCATAAAAATTAGACCTCAATACTCTGCTGGAACTGAAGGAGCTTGCATTCCTATATATACCAGAGCAGTTTTTAATACTTTCTTTTACTTCAGGGCACCGTTCTTCGATTTTAAATGCACAACAGAGTGACCCAAAATATTCTTCGATATTTTTTAACATGATAATCTTTTGTCTGTTCTGTTCCAAGTTTTATATTAATTTATTTTCTTCTATATTTTCACAACCTTTGGACGGAGTTGTTTAACACCGTTACTGAGAAATTAATACAATTCCGTGTTCATCTAAAGTCAAGCAGGACCAGTAATTTCAGCGTAGGAAATTCCTCGGATGTCAAAAAGCGCTGGATTTCGCCCATTTTCGCCTCTATTTTTCCTCCCACTATATTGAGATGAACTGAATTCAATTCTAGTAAACAGCATTTTGCGCCTCATGTCAACCCAATGAACTGAATAAACAACCTCGAATGTGTGTTAAATCCCCGATCCCCTACCTTTCATCAGATATGTAATCTACTGTATGTTTCTCGTTGCTTCTTTTGTCATTCTGCTAGCTGCTACCTTCTCCGCCTTCATATAACTCTCCCCTCTCTCACTGGTTTCTACAGTTAACTGCCCGACGGATGCGGAGGCTGTGGGAACGGAGGTAAATACTACTGTGCCCTGGGCTCGTCTGGAGAGCCTTAAACCGGGCAACCGCTACGTTGCCTGCGTTCGCGCTTTCAGCATCAACACACAGAAGTCGGCCGCCTCACAGTCTCGTGTCGGTGACTGGAGCCTTGTCCAAACCTTCGAGACGGCCGTGAAGAGTGAGCTAACTGTTTTGACTATTTGAGAACTAGCTACTGATTATTTAGAATTTGACGGTTATTAATGTGTTAACTTTGACTTTTAGAAAGCACCATTAGCATAGACGGTTCCGACGCTCAGCATATGCTCGACGGCAAAGGCTTCGACACCTCCTCTAGAGACCAGCCGCTTGGTGATCCTGACCCCGCATCGTCTGATGATCAGCGATCGGCGACTGGGGAGCAAAGACCAAATTCTGGGAGCAGTAACAGTGATTCGAATCTGTGGCTTTTGACACCCACTATTATGGTCGTGTCTGTTCTCCTGATCTCCGTTGTCTCGCTGGTTTGCTGGTTGAAACGCAGATCCTTCATGATTGTTCGGTAAATTTCCCCTTACCTGCACATTGTCCTCTTTTCCTCCGTTCTCTGTTTTCGTTGTTCTCCTATCGGCTGTTATTCCGTCTTCTTTTCAGCTACAAGCCGGACCCGTCCGCAGAGGCGACAACAAACGGAACCAACCTTTGCCTCCTAACCCCAGCCAAACAGGCAAACAATATGGTCGGTGTGGACGAGAAGACTGCCGCTGGTGCGATGGAAAAGAGCGTAAAGGAGGGTCACATGCTGGAGTACCTACAGCAACAACAACAGCCACAGCCGTCGAGTACGTCGCCTTTCT